AAGATGGACATTCTTAATGTTGGACTTCCTATACAGACTTTCTGGGAAAATATTATCATAATAATACCAGAATAATGTTCAATTCATCAATTTTATATGCCTAAATAATTCTGTCCTGAAGATTATTTTATTCAATTTTTACGAAGATAACTCACCTATCATTTCGCTCAGATATATAATCCAGGTTTAACAATCTCAATATAAGTTTGTAGAGATTTGTCAAAACATGATTCATATCTTTTCTGTTACACTGGAACTGGTGTGTCATTATTATTTCAATTCAAAACCACTGTTTTAGCAAACCACTACTGTCAGCAGTAGTTCACGAGCTCATTCTGATTTTTCTGCAACACACTCAAAACCTGGCAGTGTTCTTCTTCTGTACAAGTTGTATTTCCTTCTGACTAAATTAGAACTGGAAAAAATAAGATTAACACTTCCTATCTTGCTCCAGTGAAGGCCCTTTCTGAACAGGCAGTTTTCTGCAGGAAAAGAAACTCTCCTTGGGACACAGTGTAAAGAAATTTAGCAAAGAAACTCTAACCTTTGGACAGGAAAGATAAAAGATAATGTGATAAACTGGACATAACATGAATAGTAATGAATTTTTACATATGGAGCATTAGTTAAGATGGGGCAAGCATTTACTTTTGCCAGCATTAATGAGTTACGATTAACCATTTGTGCATTTGTTAAGAATCAATCTTTTTCTTTTAATACCTTGATACCAGTTGCTACTACATCCAAAATGTAAATCAGAATGGTCTTCTTTTCAGTAATCCTTCCTTTTATAAGTTCTATTCTGAAAATACATTTAACCACCACTAAGATATTGAAATAACTGAGGCTGAGACCATCTAACAATTTACCTCTTGGGTATGAAATTTTAAGCTTTATTTACAGCTAAAAAAGTTAGTTTTGAGGTGCTGAAACTAAGGACCTTTTGGTTATGGCAATATGAAATGAACAATCTGATATAAGTGATTTTTAATTTTAAAAAATGACTCCCTAACAATATTTGTAATATATTCTTTAAAGATCTGATTATGTGCAAGGATATCTTGCTAGGGAACTTACTAACCATTAACATTAATATTTTTCTCAATTTACAGTAGTCTGTAGCCTATCCTCACACTAAATCTTCAGCTAGACATAACTGAAATGACAAAGTAGACATTTCATTAAAGCAGCAAATGTACACCAGAGAACTCTAGTTAACACAAACTGTCATTAATTTTCTAACCACTTATGTATAAACATGTCACCTTTTCTTCTAAAGAAAATGACCCTTTTCTGCTTGAAATCAGGAACACTCACCTTTGTAAATATTTATCCATGCATATGTTTATATATGCCTCTCCATCCCAAAGCGCAATTCCCCTTTAATTGCCTAAGCAGACCTGTTCAGTTAGTAAAATTATGTAAGAGTCATATATGGGTAAGTAGTACAATATGCAAATAGCATATATATAGGTGATGTGCATAAGACAGGGATAATAAAAAGATCTGGCAGCATACATGCTACACATTAAAAAGGAATAAAAAGCTTTTTAAAATGATATGTTTGATTTCAAGAAGTTGAAGTTGATAACACTAAAAATATCTAATTAAAGTATTCAATTAAATTTTCTGACCTTCAGTTCAATAAAATTATTACTGTACAGTTCCTTGGACATCTTTTCTACCACTTAAGTTTTATACTGTTGAATTTTCCAACTGCTTGAACATTCAACTTACCTAATCAGTTCTCTTTCCCATTTGGATCAACTCCTTAGTAACATAAAGACTCTGTTAGTATGAGAGAATTTATATAAAAAATACATTCCACTTTTGCAAGTGACCCCTAAAAGCAATACCTCATCTTCCAAGAAGAGCTGATAACAACAGCAAGCAAATGTTGCTACTGCTCTAATATTTACATTGCTTTCAAGAAATAAGTTCAAAATACTGGTTATACCACAGTCCTAAAATAATTAGCCCCTACCTATTTTTAAATAGGTTCCTTCCTTATATCCTGATCAAGAGAGAACCACTATCCAGACTCAGGTTGCCGACCTAAACAGAAAGGATACTTTATATTGTTTAATGTGGAACTCCTTGTACACATGGAACTCTGTGTACACAGAGCTCATCTTATTTAAAAACAGATTCAATGTTAGGTTGTCTCTTTGCTGACAAGGGATAAAAAGTAAAACAGATTAATATACAAAGAAGAAAGAAAATACAAGTGTTATTATATCCTAGCAGAAATTACATATTACAAATATACCCAATACTCCAGAGTTAAAGAGCCCCTTACCAACAAAAACTACCATTATCTTTTCACTCAGATTAAGACAAAGCACTTCACTTTCAAATAGCTCAAGTCAAGAAGTTGTCTGATTATACTATACAGGCCAACCAGGAGAAGGAACCTAGTCTCCTAGTATCAGTAAGGAATGATACAGAACCCAAGGTCAGTCTGCATTGTTTCTAAATTCCTGATTTATACTCAGAAAAAGCTTAAAAGCACATTATGAAGATAATTTTCCCTTACTACATATAGCACTTAAAGCATAACCGTAAAACCCATTAAAGCTTTTGATTTCTTTCGTGATCAGTATTAGCATACAATTAGCAAATTACCCAGTTTAACAAAAAAAAAGGTAGGATGTTTTTCCAAGATGAAGAGCTTCTAGTTTTTAGATTCCAAGGTATATGTCATGTAAAGTGACAAGTTAAAACCACTATTTTCCACAATGGGAAAAAGATTAGTTATCAGTAAGGAATACTATTATCCAAAACTAGTAATGGGACAGTTTTAGAACTGCAAATGCACACCTATAGATAGTAGGAAGACAGTTGAAATCTTTTTGCAAAGAAAGAACTAAAGATAATATACAGAAAAAAATGGAAAGATGAAATTTGAAACCAAATATGTAATCTAAGAATCTAAATATAATTTTAAAATTATAATTTTAATGGAGGGAAAAGACAAGTGCAGAGTCAAACTGAAAAAGGAAGACATATAGTACTGGCCAAAAATATGGGTTCATGAGTCCCCTCACCATCAATTTTAAGTAATATTAATGCACCTCTACACTAACTTAGCATTTTAGCATTTATCTTTGTATACATTCTTTGATATCAGTTATACCGATAATACTCGCATCTCATCAAGAGCTTAGAAAAATCAGTTCCCTGCTCAACAAAAAAAGTTGCAACAATGGCTAAGAACAATAATGATAAAACTAGAGAAATTTTGTGAAGATTAAAATAAAGTTTCTTACATTAAACAATATAAAGTTTACTGCTAAACTCCAAGAATGTGTCCTTCCAGAATCTAGTTCTATACCTGTGTGGATTCAGGATAAATCAATCTAAGAAATCACAATTTCTTAAATAAGCCATAATAAAGTACATGGAAATTCATTCAGTATTCTTCATAACTGCACATATCTAAGTTTTAAGCTTGGTATCAATGCATTTCCATCAGTTACCAAAGCCTTATAGTATCTTTTGGGTGTAGGATACATTAAGCACTGCATATTGGCTTAAGTCTACTTCTCATACTGATTTAATAAGGAACATGGGAGCTCCTTCCCTCTTTCCCCTAGTTTTCTGGGCAGCTTTCCCACATCAATGCATTTTTAATGAAGTACAACTTTAAGGGAAAAGAACCTTAAAACATCCAGGAGGCCTCAATATGCCTTTCAGAGCTTAATTACAAGGATTAGTAAAAAGCATCACACATGCCTATCTTTTACCATAAATTTAAGCCGAATCACACACACTCTGCGATTGCTGACCATGCAATCGGTAACTCTTCTTTGAAAGGGCAAAACCATTTGCCCCTCCTAGGTGACTTACAGTGAAGAAAAAAAACCATAATTGATCAAGAAACCCATGGAAGTGGTGGGGAGGAATTCAGTGCTGTGAGAAGACATAAATCTTTCAACAGAAAGAAAACACGGAAAGATAAACGGGCAAAAAAAAAGGCTTTTAACAAGTCAGGCAACCAAGCTCGGATCGTATAACAGCTAGCAAAATGCTAAACTGTTAAGTTCACCGGCTATCGCGGTAGTACAAAGTTCTGCTTTCCCAACGCCAAGAAGGCAGGCTAGGAAGCTTGGATGGGTCCCTCCTACGCCATCCAGATTTTTACTAATGAGTAAGCACGCAACCTATTCCACACTAGCCATTATTCCTAACCTCTTTAAAACCCAGGCAAGCTTAACAATATCGAGCCGACTACTGTGCGAGAACGATCCCCCGCCCCCAATCCGCAGAGTTTATCCCTCAACTACGCATCGATTTATAACCCCTGAACTGCTCACTAGGGCCCGTTTTATTATTCGGATCCTCCCCCCACACCCGGCCAGCACATCCACCGAAGCAGCAAGTCTTCGTAACTCGGCCCGGTCGGTTCCCTACGTCAGAAAGGCCAGACACAAACACAGAAAAGATCGCCCGAGAGGAGACAGTCGCCATTCCGACGTTTCCTTTACGACATTCCGCGGCCCGGCGACCCCCGCTTCACACTCGCCCTCCTCCTAGGCCAATTCTTAACGTTAGCCGACGTCCTTCGCCCCTCCGGCTCGGCCCCGACCAGCTACCCCTGGTTGCTTCGCCCTACTTCGGGCTTCTCCAGGCCACCACCCTCTCCGTGTGGCACGTACCCATCCCTCCCAAGTTGGTAGCCGGTTGGAAAAAGGGGCAGGCCCACCTCCACCAGACCCGCCGGGGCCTCCAATTAATCTCCTGGGCCGTCCGTGTCCCCCGCAGTCTCGTCTCCCACCCTCACAGCCACAAGGCCGCCCCGTCAGAAGGACTCGCTAGCCAAGCCCACTCCCCTCCTCTGGCTCCCCCCAGCTGCCGGGACGAAGGGCCCAAGTCCATCCTCCAGCCCCGGCGTAGTCCAGCCACTGCGGTCTGAGGGAGCCGCTTGCCAGGAAGCCAGAACGATCCGCCGAGAAGCCGCCGGACAGCCCGGCGCGGCCTAAGAGCCCCCACATAGGTACCTGAGACAGCACTGGCTCCCCCCACTTCGCGGCCCTCGACTGTTTCGCACACAAACAAACTACCTCAACCAAACCTTCTGTGCCGGAAGGCGGAGTTAGGCTGCCTTCTAAACCAATGGCCGCTAGGCACCTGGGGCGCTAGAACGTGCTCTCCACCAATCGCCTGACGGGAAACCGCACCCTTGCCTCATCTAGCTAATTGGAACTCCGCGAAGGGAAGGGACGGGCAAGCGGCTCCAAGCACCAATGCAGCGAAGGAGGCGGAATGGCGAGTTAAAAAGCTTTCAGCCAATAGAAAAGACAATTGGGGTTTTAATCGACGAGTACATCAGCCAGTAGAAAGGACGCCGATTCGAGAGGTTTCATAAACAACAAATAAGGTGACCCAAGAGGGGCGGAGCCATCCGGCGGGGCCAACCAATCACAGCGCTCTCTGGAGCTGATATTGCCCAATAGCAGATCACATGTCCTTCATACCGCCTAGCGAGAGGCCGAATTGACGAGAAGGTAGGTAGACGTGCGCCGAACTTTCTTTGCCCAATCAGAGAGCTCGCCATCTTCGGGGCCAACAAGGAGGAAAAAAATGTTACTTCCGGGAGTCCTGTGAACCTTGACCTCCCCCGCATTGGGAGCCGGGCGAGGTGGAGTTCTAGGAACGGGAAATCATGTGGGGGGCGTGGCCAGAGCCGAGTCGGCTCGAACCCCGGAAGTGTCGTTGCTGAGGTCGCAGGTTCGCTGCTTCTCAGCGGGACGTGCGTAATGCCCACAAGAGTCGTCCAGCCGGGAGGTTCTGCGCCGCAGAAAAGACGGGCTGGAACAGGGGTCTCTAACCTTGGCAACTTTAAGACTTGTGGACTTCAACCCCCAGAATTCCTCAGCAAAGCTGGCTGAGGTATTCTGGGAGTTGAAGTCCACAAGTCTTAAAAGTTGCCAAGATGGCCCTTGAAGGCGGCGGGTCGATCAGTCCTCCGAACATTATTGAAAAGCCAGGGTAGCCCCAACGGTAGATCCCTGGGAGCAGCCGGGAGGGAGGAAAGTATTAGGGAGACCCCGGCCCCGCTTTCATCATCTGGGCTCGTCCTTTCCCCACGGTCGAAAGGAAACGAAGTCGGTGTGCCAGTAGGACGTGGAGCAAAATCTGCTTCTAAGCCTTTCGGGGAGCGAAATGGTAAATCAAGGGCCCCTTTTTCCCCTTCCTGTGAATGAGACAGAGCCTTTTTGTGGCTTATTACGGTTTTTTGGTAATGGTCAGCAGCACCGATTCTGCTACTTCAAAATGAAAAGCTAATAAGACGCAGGAACTTTTTAAAAATGGTTCTATGGGACATTACAGCTAAAAAGATATGTACTAATGCAAACTAAAAAAATAGTGCATAAAAGAAGGAAAAAGGAAAAAAATAGTAAAAGAAATATTCCCTCTTCATCACAAATACCGGTATAAACAATTTTAGTAACAGCGTCAACAATCTTATCCTGACATACAGCAAATAACCAAACAACCAACAGTCCTTTTTTTCTATGTATCTATAGACAAATCTTTAAAGTCTCTTTTGTTCAGACTTGGCCAGCAAAAGTCCCTAACAATTATCAGGAATAACGTATTTATTTTAACCTTTAACCAACTTTATATGTCTTCCTTTTACTTTTAACAAACTTAATTCTTTAATCCCTTCAAATCTGCCAGATTTTCATTTTTTTTCTTTGTCCCTTCTCAAAATCTTTCAAAGATTGAACAGGAATCCTTTCTGAAGCCCTTAGTGAGCTTTCCAAGTTCTAAGGATGCAAAGGAGCTCCAGGCCATAATATCCCACTATTGTGCCCCACTGTGGCTTGCTTTCTCCATTCGAAAACCAACATCTTCCACGCTTAGTCTGCAGAACCAACCGCCTGCTGGATCATTCAAACACTCTTTGACAAGATTTGTATGAATGGCAATCTGCTTTCTGGAGAGCAAGTTTTCTCCTAAATATCTCTATGCGCACTCTTCTTCAATGTCCCTTATTGTGACTACAGGTGTCACAGAGGAGTGAGTTGCAGACCCCTGGGATTACCCTAGGATTCTTGATGTTAACATGCATTGTTCTTATGCATTTTTTTGTTGGACCACGATTCTTGGGATGATGCTATTGCATATTCTTCATTTATATGCTACTTATAAGATTTTTTTTCTTTCCCAATAAGTTTTCATACCTCCCTTTTTGTGGTCCATAGATATCTTTTGAGATCTGATTCACTTCCACAAACCTGTTGTGAAGCTTTGTGCTAGTGGTAGCTGTTTAGAAGGAAGGACCCTTCAAACTCAAAGATGATCATGTGATTGGAATATTTGACACAATTTTTTTCTCTTAAAACAACAGATTGCCCTATGATTTCACACAATTTACCAGAGAAATAATGTGGTATTGTGGTTAAGATGCTGGCATAGGTGAAGGGAAGCTTGGATTCTCAAGACATGGTCTCCAGTCCCTTGGAGTCCCCAAGACCCTTTCAAGGGGTTGCAAAGTGAAATAAAATAATTCTAGAGCTCAAATAAGATATCTCCAAAACCTTTTGAGGTCCGCAATCATTTCTAAGTCTTTAAAAAGATCCTGAAATCAGAACGTTGGTTTTAACTGCTAGACCATTTACATTTCATCCCCCCAAATCCTTGAATTTGATGAAAACTGATGAGTATCTTTGCTTTGATGAAAAGGAAGCCATGCCTTAAAATTGCTAGTATTTAATGATTTAGAAACTGATTTCACAATACTGTATTTAGTAACATTTGTCTTACAAAGAGATAAGAAAACAAAATGATTTTCTTTAAAAGATTATATTACAAAAATGTCAAGGTGCTTAGACTAACAAATTCAGAAATCTTTTTTAAAACTAATAGCGGTATAAATATATATTTATATACTTCCAGTCCAACAATGAAGGGAAAGGATACCATAGTTCCAAATATTGCTTTTGAATAGTGACATGAATAACATCTTGATATTTCTGTATTATTACAGTAAGCAGAGCCATGTAAGAATGTCCATTTTAATGCAAGAGGTCCTGAAATAACCAATTTTCTTAACGAAGTTTCCATCCATATCTGAACCAATGAATTTTTCATCTATGAGTGAAGATAGTAAGAATAATGACAGGATGAATGAGTACTTCCCCCCTCCCCCCTTGAGGAAAGTGCAGTCCTCTCCATCTTAAAATACATGTTTCATTTCTACAATAAATGAGCATTATCCTAACATATATGCTTTTGATTTAAAAAAAAAGCATTTCAGGAAAACAAACACCAGATGGCTTTACTGAAGCCTCATATTTAAGAAGCATCACACAACTAATCGAGTAAGTGTGAAATTTGGAGTTATTTCAAAATCAGATTTACGTTATTGCTGCATGCTAGAGACACGTTTTAGGTACTTCACATCACCTGAATTCCATAGGAAAGTGTTCTTAGCAAATCTATGTGGTTTTAAAAAATTCTCAATATGAAACATTTATGACAATACTTCACCTCCACATGGCATTGGCCAGAAACCGATCATGATTTTTAGTTTAGCTATTGTTCAGACTATTTTTTTTTAAAATCAGAACTTAGATGAAATTCAACTGGTGTAACTTGAACAATCTTATCCCCTCTAAAACAGGGTGATGCAAATATGTAGACATTGATATTTCCGGCTCCCCAGACCAAGCCAGAAAAGATTGCTAATGCGAATTCTATAGCTGAGTTTAAGATTATATTTGCCTCAAGATGTATGGCTGGAGATAGGAGAGACAATAATTAGATATGCATTTCAAAGCTCACGTATAATTTAAGCATCTATATTTGCAAGATACGTTACTTAAAGCAGTGTTTTTCAACCTTGGCAACTTGAAGATGTCTGGACTTCAACTCCCAGAATTCCCCAGCCAGCATTCACTGGCTGGGGAATTCTGGGAGTTGAAGTCCAGACATCTTCAAGTTGCCAAGGTTGAAAAACACTGACTTAAAGGCAGGCCAACCCATCAGAACTGACATTTGAAATTTTCCCGACTGTGATAGGAAGACAATATTGGAATGACAATCCATAATTGCCAAACATAAGGCATTAATTGGCTGCAAACTCAGAAAGACCATCAGCTAACTGACCCAGAATAAGGAAACAGGTATATAATATAACACAATACTGGGTGAATAAAGATTTGCCCATCTCCCTGCTGAAAGAGCAATTGTTTTGAAGTTTTTTTTTCTTTAAAAAAAGCACTCTGCATATCAGATGTCAAAAAGAGCTTAGTGATGCAGTCAGCATTTGAATAATTATCAAGGCATACTTCAGCAATCCCCTCCCTCCAGGATTATTTTATCAAGTGGGTTAAACTGACCAACATCACAGATGAAAAATGCCACAAAATATGTTGCCAAAGTCCCTTAGCCCTCTCATAAAAGAGAAGCATCTACACCATACTTGTGCCAAGATGTCAAGAGCTGGAGAATAAACAAATACAGAATGCCTAAGTTTGAAGAAGCCACCAAGAAGGAAGCATGGAACTCATGGGGGAAATAAAACACGTGAAGAATGAAAAGGGTGTTTTCTCAAGCAAGGTGAATCCTTGGAGCTGATAGCTTTGGAGACCCTTCTCTTTTCACAAGGCAGCTTGGAACCAGCGAATCCTCAAGCTCAGCTTAGTGCTTTAAAGGGTGAGTTCAGGAATAAAATCCTAAAGGTATAGGCTGTGCCCCAACTGGATCACCAGTGTTCTCTCCAGGGTTAAGTTGAAAAGTTAAGTGCAAGCAACCAGGGCTGCCCGAGGAAAAGGCATGTTGCAGAGCCTGCACTGCAGTTACTCTGTTGGCTCCAGTTCTATTTCACAAGCGGAGGTGTGGCAAAGCTTTTGTGACATCTCGAAAGAAGGGGTGATTGAGAGCAGTCTTGGCCGAAATTCTCTTGTTGGGATCATAATGCAGCATTAGCTAAAGGGGAAAGAAGAAGAGTGCAAAGTTTCGTTAGTCCTATGCACTATAATGTGCTCAAAATGTTGGAAGGGGCTGAAGTGGTTTAAACTTCCCAACTCTCACTTCAACTACCTTGCTCAAGTTAGCACTATGGGTTACAGTCTTAGTCAAGTTAATGACAACAATCAAAATCTAGCAACTACAAATGTGATTTTCCCTAAAGGAATGTGAGCAGAGAGTGACAACAGCTGGGACACTCAAAACTAAGACTCAAACCATTTTTTTCTTGCAGGTGGATAAAGCATGCACAGAGCTCACAAAATTCTACACTGACATGATTCAATCTTGGCACTAAGCAGGGAGAAAGAATTCAATTTCAAAGCAGGATAGGAGGAGAAAATATATTGGCAGAGCAAATTCTGAATAGGAATTTGATAAAAAATACCAACATTATATAGAACACAAATCAATAAGGATGCTTTTGATTTGCCATTGCCTGTTACTGTCAGATAGCAATAGCACTTAGACTTATATACCACTTTACAGCCCTCTCTAAGTGGTTTAGAGTCAGCCTATTGCCCCCAACAATCTGAGTCCTCATTTTACCCACCTTGGGAGGATGGGAGGCTGAGTCAACCTTTAGCCTGGTGATATTTGAACTTCTAAATTGCAGTCAGTCAGCAGAAATAGCCTGCAGTATTGCACTCTAACCACTGCACCACCACGGCTCAAGGTTGACTCGGACACACTTTTAAGTGACTATACCTTGTCTTAATTTAGTATGATAACTGCATGCTATAGTTCAAAACACTTCTCCCACTACATAAAACTTACTGCTAGAAGTTTTCTGCCTTCTTCATCCAACGGTGGCACTACTTTGCTAAAGTCCTGCCGGGCCCATTTGGGAAAACTGGACTTATAATCAGGCATAGCGGTGACTCCTGGCCACACAGTCTCATCCGGGGTGCCCAGTGTACGGAAGATGCGAAATAGCTGATCGATTTCAGAATCCCCAGGGAAGAGAGCTCTGCGGGTTAACTATTTGGCAGAAGAACAAAATGTCAGAACCACAACATAGTAGGCTTTGCTAGCTTAATTATTTTGGTGTAACGTTTCAACCTTGTCCTTTTATGACTCGGTGATTTTTTTTCCATCGGCTATTTGATATAGTTTCAACCTTGTCCTTTTATGACGGTGATTTTTTTCCATCGGCTATTTGATATAGTTATAAAAATATTATGCAAACAGCAGGATATAAAAAAAATGTAATTTTCATCATGATGGCCCTTCCTACTGAGCTAACAGCCCCATTTATGAAGATACTTGGAGAAGGTTTATGTGTTTAATACTGACCATCATTAAAAGAGACGGAAGGAATCTGGCTCATTCCTTCATTCCAATCATTCAGCAGATAAAGAACCCTCAACACATGCTCAATGTATGACCCAATTCTCCATCCTTGAAGCACAAATTGCCCCTAGCAGGGAAGTAGTTCTCTCCAAAGCCCAATTCAGTCCTCAGAAGTCAACTGATTCTGTCAGCAGGCCTTCATTGTGCTGACCTACTCATGTTTCACACACAAGAATGAATGAGTGTGTGTTTTCAGCAATAAAGCTTTCCTTAAGGGGCAGTAACTTTTTCAAATATTTGAGTCTGCAGTGGCATAGTTACTTACATTTGTACAATAACCTCGCGACCCTAACATCACGAGCCACATTTTCTGGCTCCTGCCAATCAAATGCCTTTCAAACCCAGCTTGCTGCTCCACCCTCACTGTCATTTCCAAAATATGTACCATCTCTGCAAAGATGCATCCAAGGCTCCATATGTCCACTGCTGTTGAGTAGTATTTGCAGCCAAGGAGAATTTCTGGAGCTCGATACCAAAGGGTCACCACCTAGTGTGAAATATAAAACCCATAATGAATGTACAATTAAAATAAGCTATTCAGGAATGGACACTTTCATCTGGTTCTTTGCATCACAAACCCTATCCATTTTTTTCCCCTAAACGCATCATATATTACCACCAAATTCATTCACATTAAAAGCTATTATATGGGCAGGAGTCACTTTTTAATAATTCACCACATGACTCACATACAGAAGATGCTAGATTTAATTCTCGGTCCCTCCAGGGAAGAGACCTCAAGCTGGAGGCACCAATTAAGGCAGCTCCAAAAGTTTCAGAAGCTAAGGGGGGAAAGGGGGGGGGATTCCTGAATTATTGTATCCTATTTGCATACCACAGAGCTTAATGAACAGGAATATGTTTTATTGCCATTAGTCACATGAGTTTATATGGTCACAAGAATATCCTCAGCATCATTTCCCAGATTACCTCTGAGATGCCAAACTCAGAAATGATTTCTGAAATACTTTTTCCTTTCCCCTTACCTAAAAAGCAAGTTCATTTAATCATTGTTGACACCAACTTTCATTTAAGTCTTGTTTGGCAAGTCCATCTCCAGACCCCAGTTTTAAAATAGAACACATGTATTTTAAATGATTATTAGCTGTGTAAGAGAGCCAAGCATCTTTAAAATGAACAAATTTTACCTTATATCAGAAAACAAAGCCAGGTAGTGCTTCTTATGAGGTCACATTGAGCCAAATGATCTTTACCATGTGGCCTCCAACTGCAACAATTGTCAGGGTTCCAAGTAATAAATCCATAGCAAGTAAGACCCTTGAGGCATGTAGATCCTCGAAGAATACTTTTATTTGGAATTATCATATTGTCACATATCTGGCGAAAACTGACTCTGAAGGTCTCACACCATTTTCACCCAATTCAAAGTAAACGTCTTCCCACTTTCTCAAAACAATCAGTCACATGGCCCAATCACAGAATGGGCTGGCACCCAGGTGGCATCACTCCGTCTTGTTCCGACTAGGTGTGGGAATGTCCTTGGTTCCCAAGAGAAAATATGTTGTTTTGGCTATATGTTCCCCTCTATCTCAATTCCCCTCTCCCTATCCCTTAGTTCCAGTGTGGCAACACTGAAGTAGTCAAAAATGGCTTCAGTTAGGTCAGCTTCGGGGTTGACAACCATCATATGAGTAGATAATTTTGATCATCAACCCAAAAAATGGACACAAGGGCTAT